GGCTGAGGCTGAGGCAGGCTGAGGCTGAGGCTGAGGCAGGCTGATGCTGAGGCAGGCTGAGGCTGAGGCTGAGGCTGATGCAGGCTGAGGCTGAGGCAGGCTGAGGCTGAGGCCGAGGCTGAAGGCAGACTGAGGCTGAGGCTGAAGCAGGCTGAGGCTGAGGCTGAGGCAGGCTGAGGCTGAGGCTGAGGCAGGCTGATGCTGAGGCAGGCTGAGGCTGAGGCTGAGGCTGATGCAGGCTGAGGCTGAGGCAGGCTGAGGCTGAGGCCGAGGCCGACGGCATACTGAGGCTGAGGCTCCAGCAGGCTGAGGCTGAGGCAGATGCAGGCTGAGGCTGAGGCTGAGGCAGGCTGATGCTGAGGCAGGCTGATGCTGAGGCTGAGGCTGATGCAGGATGAGGCTGAGGCAGGCTGAGGCTGAGGCCGAGGCTCAAGGCAGACTGATGCTGAGGCTGAGACAGGCTGAGGCTGAGGCTTCGGCAGGCTGAGGCTGAGGCAGGCTGAGGCTGAGGCTGAGGCAGGCTGAGGCTGAGGCTGTGACTACGACTGCCGTTGCCACTGCGACTGTCTTCGCGAATGCGACTACGACTTCGAGAACAGCAGAGTTCTACAACGGGATTCTCATCTGAATCGTAAGGGGAATGCTTCCAGATATGCTCCTACACATCGCTGTTAGGTTGCTTTGCCGGGATACTTATCAGTGGGGAGCCGTGATCAAGACGGTTCTACCATGCGCAAACTGTTTGGCTCACTCCCACCTACCCTCCCAGTGGTTCCCGAGGCTCAGCATATTCAGCGGACGTCTTTGGATGGACAGCTACGGCGAACCACTGCAGACCCCAGCTGCGCGACGCTGGGGCGAGGTGCGCCACGTCGGCACCCAACCGTCCGTGTCGAAACCAATGCACAATCGCGGCGGGGTCGGAATCATGCTGTCTGGGAAGCTTGCACATAGCAGGCAATCTGCCCGCACCCCCGCCGTCCCTTTCAAAACGGATGCAAAGTGATCGCGGGACACCCGCGAATGATCCAGATCTAGCCGCGAAGTGAAGTGTGTATTGATTTTAGCAGGGATGGTGGCCCTGCACACTGCAGGCCATATGCTGGCATCCCTGCCGTCCCTTTTTGAAAACTAATACACAGTGCGCGCGCCTTCCGCACATCATCCAAGATTTTGCCGCAAAGTGCACACATTGCTCTTTCGACAGGGATGGCGGGGGGTGGGTGGGTCGTCATTGGCCATGCCATGGTTTGTGGCCGGTCGGGTAGGGGAGGGGGTGCATATTCATAAAGAGCAGTGATCAAAGTACCCCCCCGAATGACGGCAGTGTCGCTCACTCCCGCCCTACCTCCCACCTTATAAGTAGCACAAAACTGGTCGTAGCATGAGCGTGGGCCGCCATCGACAAGCATCGGGAACTCATGCAGATTTCAGACAGGTGCGCGACGCCCTCGAGGTGCGCCGCGCGTGCCAGGGCACACCCATCATCCCTGTCAGATGCAAAGTGTGGGGCGCCCGAGCATGATGACGATTTTGCCGCGAAGTGTATTCTGGATGGTTTCGTTGGCAGGGATCATGGGCCTGCGCGCAGCAGGCAATACGCCAGCCCCCCCTCGTCCCTGCCAAAAAACAGTGCAAAGTGATCGCGGGGTGCCCGCGCAAGATCTGCATTTTGCCGCAAAGTGCGCCTGATGTAGTTTTCGACAAGGATGGCAGGGGGGTGTTGTCATGGTTGCGGGTTCGCCCCTGGCCAGGTGGGGGAGGGTGTGTATATCATTTTACGGAACAGAGGTGGACCCTTGGCCGAAGGGGAAGGAGGTTGTAAGAGGAACCGCTCTAAACCACCTACACCCTAAAGGGCTGGTGGGATTCGTTTTTCGGCGGGTCGAAACTTTATACTTGAGTGGTCTCGTACTGCATCCCTTTTTTAGGCCTGCTTCTTCAGAACAGCCTGTATAGGGCCAAAAGCCAGCTGGCGTGGCCAGGAATCTGCCCATTCGGGAGCATTGAGACGGGGGTCAACGCAAACGGTGGTTCAGCCAGAGCGCCGGACCATGCACGATCCTGCAGAGCCAGGGCTGCACTGACCCGGGTTCGGGCGCAGGATCCTGCATGATTCTACAGGATGTTGCAGGATCCTGCGAAGCCTGACTGGCCCAGGTTTGCATTAACCCGGGTCAGTGCATTCCATTCTGTGTTTGTTGCTGTTCGCTGGTTCCGACGAGCATGCAGAATCAGCTTCACAAGTTGTTGTGTTGTGCGGGCGCCGGGGGGCGCCGGGCCGCGTTCTTTTTCACGATTTCCCGTGGGTCCCACCAGGTCCCCAGAGGCCCTGGAGGCCCCCAGAGTTCGTGGGTGGCCCTCGATCCTGGAGACTTCTGGAGGCCCAAACCTGGCCAAAACGTCCAGAATCCTCGACCGTTGATCCTCGAAACAGAGAGCAACACATCGTCATACTTTTGGGGGATGGGGTGGGTGTGAGTGTATGCTTGTTGTCTACATTTAGACAACGTTGGCGGCGGCCATCCGACCATTGCAGCATACCCCTCGACAGAGCTCCTTCGTCGCTGGCCGCCCATGGCGCTGTGTGACTCTGCGTCCTGCTTCGTCGGCGCCCCTGCCGCCCCGGCCCAGCGCCTGACGCCCGCTCTCCGAGCCTCCATCCGGCTGCGCGTAAGAGGTGACCGCCCGCTGGAGTGACCTTTCGGTGCTGGCCCGCAGGGCCCCCCCGGGCCACGGCTGGCGCGCTTGGGTCTGCCCACCCCGCCGCGCCGCCCCTCCCCCTCTTACACGGCCCTGGGAAGCCTCAGGAGCGGAAACAAAAACACACCGACACAAGTCATCGTCGATTCCCAGGAACCTATGGGAAACTATGGGAAGTGTGGGGGGGGAAGACCCAGACCCAGAAAGTATTGGGAAAAGATTGGGAACCCGGTTGTTTGTGTGTCTATATTTGTGTGCCCTTGCGGCCCCCTTAAAGCCGCCCACCACGAGAGGCCTCTCTTGCCCAGGGCCGCCCCTGCGCGCAGCCGGCCCCGTCGCCGCGCCGCGCGCCGAGAGCTCCGCGAGCTCGGGCCTCACCACCTCCGGCGCGTGCTCGCTCGTGGGGGCCGGCGTCGTGGGCGCGGCCGCGGGCTGCCGCCGGAGGCTCACCACCCACCAAACCATCCCAACCCAACCCGAAGGCTCAGATTTACCCTCGATTTCCAGTTTGGGGGGGGGTCGGGAAGCATCGAAAAAACACATGTGGAACCCTTACCCCCCAACCCGAAGTTCGGGTCTTCGGGTTGGGTTGGGGTGGTCTGGTAGGTAGTCAGAGGCAGCGCGGCGCGCGCGCCGCCCGGCGGGCGGCGGAGACGTTCCAGCAGCTGGCCATGGGCTACCCGAGCAGCTACGAGGATCGCCTGCGCGCAAGCTCGGCCCCTCGCCGGAGGGGCCAGAGGTGCTGACGCCGCTTCCCTCGCTTCGACTTCGTTTTTTGCTGTTGTTGCTGCCTCCTGGAGGTCCTCGTCGCCGCCGCTGGATTCGCCTCGAAATTCTGGTCAGAACACACCCCAGGATAGGTCCAGGGAGTGGCGGACTCGGTACCTTCTTCTTCCTCGCCCGCTTTGGTGCGCGGCTTTTGGGGGCGCGTGGCGGGGCCAAACCCAGGCTCGCAGGCGATCGGCAAGCCGCCGGCCAACGCTGACTCTTGCTTGAGGTCGCGCAAGAGTTGCGTTCCGCCGAGAGGAGATCGCGAACACCAACCCCGTGGAGAAGAAGACTGACATCATCTGCACGATCGGCCCGAAGTCTTGGTCGCCCGAGAAGCTGGTGGAGCTGATGAAGGCGGGCATGAACGTCATCCGCTGCAACATGTCCCACGGGGACCACGAGGAGCAGAGCATGAAGCTCGCCAACCTCGAGAAGGCCTACGAGCTGGCCCCAGAGTTCAAGGGCACGGTCAAGATTCTGATGGACACCCGAGGGCCCGAGATCCGGACCGGGACCTTCGAGGTGTACAACTCCAAGAAGGAGCTCAAAGCGGGCCAGGACTTCAAGCTGGTGTGCAACGATTATTCAAGCGGCTTACGACATTCAGCCGACCCTCGGAAGGAGTGAGTGTTGGAGACGATCGTGGAAGTTATATCTTGAGTCAGGAGCCTCCTGGATGAATTTGAGCCTCTCTTCGGGGCATGTGGGAGTCCTGTAGGGCCTCGTGGGGGCCTCTGGGGGGCTTCTTGGGGGCGTCTTGGAGGCCTCTTGGGGCTTCTTGGGAGGCCTTCTGGGGCCTCTGGGGGGCTCGAGCGGCCATGTTGGTGGGAAAGGCTCGAAGTGTGAATTCGTATTCCCCTCTTGGGCTTTCTTGGAGCCCTCTTGAGGCCCTCCAGGGGCTGTCTTGGGCCGACTTGGGGGGCCCCTGGGCCTCTCTTTGGGTCCTCT